GTCTTAAAGATTTCATTGTAATCATTTAGGTGTATAATTTTTGATACACTTCAATTCTTAAAGCTCTAAACTATGCTTTAGTATAAACGAATCTAATTTTTGGTTAATTCTACTTTATAGACACTGGAATAAATTTTCAAAAGAAAAAAAATGGTGATTACAATACTTTCATAGATAGGTAATTCTTTTGCAAGTTGCATGTCAATTACTTTGTATTGCGAAATTCTTTTACATTTTTATTCTATTCTAGACACCTATTTTAATGAATCGATAAATAAGAAGGTAACTTATTCACTGATTTTTAATTTTACTTATATATTTTGTACAACTAAATAGAAGAAAAAAACGTCTTTAGAAATAATTTGCATATAAGCAATAAAATGTAAATATTTTCTAACATTCATAAAAAAATTAACAAACAACTTAAATAACTGTATATTAGAAATTTAAATTAAGTAGAGGGTATTCATAAACTTTTATAATTTTTAAACAACAGCGTTTAGTTTTTAGATTTCATTGTACATTGGTTAGTAGTTAGTTACTAGAACAAGGTCAAATTGGAAAAAAATATAATGTAAACCTAATACTATAGTGCGACGATGACGACAGCATTATTTATTGCCCGCAATTTTGCATTACAGCCGACCAAAATTCAAAAATAACCGTACAAGGAAGAGAGATAACTGATGTTTTTCTCCCATCAAATCAACTTGTTTTCCTCTAAATATAGTTGTTTTTAAAAATATTATAGTTTGATAATCAATGAGAGTGCGGGGCCCCGTCTGGTGATGTAATTATTTACATAAATAAAATAAATGCGCACATGAAAATATTGTTTAAGCATAGGTATTTATTCTCAAGCTGTCACTTCGAACTTTGAGGTTAAGATACGGTCTTCCTCCGAATTACGACAAAACAAAACAAAAAATTTAAACAACGTGCAGGTCTCTGACAATAAAAAAAATTATATTTCGCGCTACAAAATTGAGTGCCAATCTAAAATTAAATACACAATGTTTTAAGTATGACGCCATATTCTCCACTATTCCACTAAAAGCTGTTTAAAAGACACGTAAAGATACGGCAAAAATCTGTAAGTATTTTTTTCAAAAATTAACTACCTTCAAAGGGGTGTCTGTCCCATGTCGGTGTGTTATTATTCTTCAGCTGGGTACTTACCAGTTACGTATTCGTCGTCACCGAGTTTGCTGCAATAGGAGTGGGTAAACGGGAGATACGTAGTAGCCACGTCAAAATTTTAGGGCGGTCGTCACTGGACGAGTACAGAACTCAAGTGCGCGTCACAGCAATGGCGCCCAAACTGCGATACACTCTCCCCTCTATGCAGGTCAGGTTCAAGCTTATTGGATACATACAAATTTTAAGTAATCGTACGTTATTGGAAATTTTTTGGAAAACTCTTGAATATAAAAGCATACCACATTAAATAAGTGTCTGAAAAAAAATACATCTTACACTGTTTGGTACTGATGGCAAGTAATATTTACAAACTTGTTTTTGATTCAGTGTTAAAATAATTGGTTTGTTATTTAAATTTCTTTTGTTTTTAGTTTTTAAATGATCATTGTTGTAAAAAAAATGTTGGCCCTCCAAAATACCCTGTCGATCGATGAAATATTTGAGCCTCGCCCATTAACATCAAAAATTGATTCAATGCCATTAACATCAAACAAGAAACACTCCAAAATCTTCAATGGTCCAAACGTGTATAAGTTTAATTTGAGCTCGAAAGTTAAATTCATTTATCACAGTGCCCAGATAATGAATTAGAATTTGATAACTACAAGTGCTGTACAAATAAATTAATAAAACAATTATTGGATGAAGAAATGCTCCTCAACTTAACTAGTCGATTGAATAAGCGTATGGAAAATTTTATCCACACTCAAATTCGCCTTGATAGTAAGACACCAAAAGGATTATGCTTCAACTTCAATTTTTTCAAACTTATTTGCCACTCCAAGTCGCAAAACTTTTATAAAGGTCTTGAGCTCTTATATATGCCGATTTTGTTACAGAAAACATTTTTGATAGGTTTGTTTTATAAATATTTAATTATTTATATAGTGTAAATGCATATTTGTTTGAGTATTTCTATGTTTAAATAGACAAATTATATGATGCGGCGTTAATTTACTGTAATAAAAAAAATAAATAAATTGATATTAATGATTTGAAACTAGTTAAATATTTTTCCAATTTATTTTTTTTGTTTGATTTTCTTCATTACATTTTTGCGCAGCTAGTACAGAGTTAAATTTCAAAAAGCCCACTCGTGGCGTACATATTGAATTTTAGTACCATTCCAATTTGATAGATGAAAGCACATCGCCTCACCATTTTACCATTGAGTTACCCATCAATTCACTGTCCCCTAATCTATGGTTATATATAAAAGAATCTACTGTTTTAACTATATAGTTTGCATTATCTTTAAAAAACAATATATGGTCTACTATTACTCCCAGATATTTGATTTATAGTAGCGGTTACTTCTTACTAATTGTAAATAATCTAAACAAAAATTCTCTAATTTGCATATTGTGGAAGATATTGGCGGGAAACCAGTTTTAGGGTCCATTTTGGGCCCTATCCGACGCAGCAGTTGGTAAAAGTTTTCGACCTTGGAAGCGACCGCCGAGACCTAAGAGTTGAGCCACAACGGAAATCTGGACCGACTTAATGACAGGTTGGTCCCTTCAGTTACTGGACTAAGTAAGAAAAAGTACTGGTCTTTTGAATCTAGTAATTTGCCAAACAGCTACAACTGTTGAGTTGGCTACAATGATTACCCTTATCATGTTTTTACTAATCATAATCATCGCTGGTTTAAACAACTGTCATCGAGTCAGGACGGGTGTATTTTTTTACTAATTATCTATGCATCAACAAAATCAAATTAATTTTTTTTAATTTTAGTAGGATTTGCGCTTGAATAACTAGAAAAGTATATTTGAATAATTTTGTATTAAGTTAAACGAATTATAAGTAATTACAAAAATTATAAGATCTTGGTATAGGCCATCGATAAAAAATTATTGTACTTTAAATTTATTTCCTAAAAAATTGGTCGTTCAAAATAAAATATAAGTTACGTGGCAGATACTGATTTTGACAACATTATTCTGATTGGCTGTCGTTCACATCAATGTAAATTTGTACATGGCGTGAATGAAAAGAGGGTGTCATACCTCCATTTTTATATATGAGAATAATTTATTTCTGTAAATGCTTGTGCTAGTCAGCAAACTGGCATAAAAGAGAATCTGCTTTGGGATTTTTCAGTTACACATCTCTTGTCTAAAAATAAACCTGCAGTCAACACTTTTTTTTAATAATTTTATTATTATTATTAAGGAGCTGTAATTATCTACAGGTTTCAGTATTCTTGAGCCATCATCAGGTAGCAGTAGACTAGCAAATATAGATTTACTAAATCGCTCTAAAAAGTGATGATCATTGATATATCATAAAGACAAATTTGTCTTGTCTAATTAATGTCAGTCTAAATATATTAGAAGTATTTAAAGCGACAAGCATATTAAATGGTTATTTATTATAGAAATAGAATTATTAATTCATTTCTTTTTAAATAAGTATCTACATAAAGTGAAAAATAGTAGAACATTGTCAAAATGAACTTTCACTACAGGGGGGCTATTTTCAAAGTATGGGAGCACTCATTTCTCTCAAGATTCTCATCAGAAATGTCATACGTCAATGTGGAAATGTTGTTTTTAAAGGCATCGAGGATTAAAATTCTTAGGAAGATTTTAATTTTCTCTAAATAAACCGAGAGAAACAGTCACACTGGCCCTAAGAGCCCTAAAAATACGGTTTTACGTTGACGTATGACATTTCTCTTGAGAGAAATGAATTCTCTCGAGTTTCAAAATAGCCCCCCTGCTACCATGAATTTTTAACGCTGCTGGGTAAATCTCCGAGACCGACCCTGTACCTTTAACGCTCACAATATCCATTTACATTTTTACAAACTGATTCTCTGCCCCATACCCCGCGTGTATAGCATGTGTGTTTTATAACTATTTCTTTTTATTTTAAATGTTGATTTGATGATTTATATTTGAATTTGATTGATTTAATGCATATGTGTGCATAGGTATATCCATCATTTTGATCTCCTTTTTGACTATACACACGTTTTCTTTAGCAGGGAATTTTAGAAACATACCTGATTCACATTTTAAAAAGTAAATAGTGCAATATAAGTAGGTATTTCTAAAAATTCTAATGCGTTTAAAAAATGGGTATGAAACAGCCGTTAGATATATCATTTAATGGAATGCAAAATATGTAGGGTAAGTAGGGTATTTAATTCAAAAGCCATTTTCGATCCAACTAGAATGAAATCTTTGCGAAATCAACGTTATTTGATATATTCATTTTGAAAACAAAGAAAATAAAGGTCAGGGAGTTTCCTGAAACTTGACCGAAATGCCCTCAGTACGTTGCACGTTTGTAATATTAGAGCACTTACGTCATCTCAAGGTTTTCAATGACGTCATCGTGACTCATCAAGTATAACTTCCAAGTTCACAGAGCGCGAAACTGGCATCGTTATCTTGTTGGAAAACATATAATTGCGGTTTATGATGAATTCTGTTGGTGTCACGTATGTATGTAAATAATAATTATGAATAATAGAATACCTAGCTGGATATAAATTAAAATTTATTCATTTTATAATTATTTTTCACGTTTTCTATGTACAAAAAAAAATGCGTGTTAACAATATACAAAAAAAAGCAATTATTAATACTTTTATTTGTTGTAAAGCAATCATTAAATATTTAAAAATCACAAAATAAACATTTTTTACGATTTTATTCGAAACTTTATACTACGTCTGCCATCTATTATCTATTTTCTGAACTAAATTTTTGACATTAAAAATGTCTGCAGTAAATTAATGCCTTTATTAATAGATGGCGCTAGAGGTTATTGATTTTTAAAATATAAGTATTTAAATAGTTGTTACTGGATTAAAATGATCTATTTTCTAAATAAAAAACGAAAATCATAACTGGTAAGTTTAATAAATAATCAGTTTGTATCAAAAATTACATTTCTGAACGTCATTTTTTACAAAACTTTTACCACAGCTCAAGCATTTCAATGTTTCACAAACTTTTAACAGACAAGATCTACAATAAAAATGATCGCAAGGTAGTTTATACAAAAAAATACTAATTTCATTACAAGATAAACATTTACTTTTGGCGCTTTCATCAGTGGTAAAATTAACAAAATGTTTGCTTCGTTTTGCATTGGCTATAGCTTGTTCTAAGTCACTATTATCACTATCCAAAGTCCGTTTTTGTCCAGAACTTTCAGGAAAAATACTTGCATTACCGCCTAAAGTTCTTTTCACGTTTCGCAACTCTTCTCGATGCGAATTTTGGAAAATAAACATGTCTATTCTGCTTTTTAAAGCCGCATTTACCACTGGTTTCAAAGTTGTAGTAAATTTTATACCAGTAAAGGGATCACAAGGTTTTCTACCGAAAGATTTTTCGCTTTGTAAGTGCTTTTCTAGTGTAGTTTGATCCACTGTTTTCCCGCTGGGAAGAGTCATGGGTAAAGTCATTATTTCACAAGTTAATTCGTCTCTAAAGTCTTCAGGTATTCGAAATTCCTCAGTGTTTACATCAGATGAAATTTGGGGAAGGATACTTTTATTAGCAAGTTTATTTATAGTATCTATAGTCTTTTGAGAGCAGAATTTTGAAGGTATTCCCCACGTTTCTGCTGATAAAATACAGGGTACCGATTTGTTTGTTCTGAATATTAATATTTTGATGCCAGTAGCGTTTAAGAAGTATTTAAAAGTGTTGGATTTAAAGAAACTTAAATGAAATTCGTTATTGAAGTTAGGAGGTAATTTTGATTTAGAATATTTCCTACTGTTACAAAAAACTACACCAGGGTTATCAAAAATACATTTTCCTATCGATGTATAGCTCAAATCGTTGGTTTTTGCGAATAATTCTATACCATTACACCTCTGATTGCCAACGGTTGTATTTAAAATAATGTAATGCATGTTTACTGGGCAAATAAATTCGAATTCTACTTCAACGGGTGGTTTAAATGATGGGTATGATATAAAACCACGTATTTTATCGGTATATTTTGAGCTAATTAAATTATCAACTTCATAACTCTCTGTAGAAGGTGTTTTACAGTTAACTTTTGGTATAAATTTTGAATCTAAAAAATTAATCATTGTTCTAACCAAAAATAAGGAAATTAATGTTAAAAGGTTAATCAATACAAGGTCTGTATGAAATTGGTTTTTGATTTAGCTATTAATAAATTTACTCATGGTATGTACTTTAAAATCAATTAAATAGATCGTTATTAAATTACCTATTAAGGAATTAAAGTGACAATTAACATTTTAGAGGATTTAAAATACCTATAAGATGGAAATTTAAATGTATTTTGCATTTACATAATGGAGTGATGTAGACATATCCTTAATTACCTCCATGAAATAGTGTTGGCTGATAAGGTGTGTTTCTTTTATAAGTCTTCTGCAAAGAAATAAAGTAGGTATTACAATCATCACAATTTACTAGATAATTATTGAGATGGAAAACACAAAATCACGTAAAACTGAGTATGTTTTGGAAGATATTTCCTCACGTATAACACCAACGATGTCACCATCTCAATTATGTTTAATGGAACACCCCATATATATTTTTTCTTTAATAGCTTCTCTGCTGTAGATATTTTGAACCATGTTACATTTTACATGATAATAAAATATATTCACAAAACATATATTTGTTTACGTGTTAAAAACTTCAATAATCCATTTTTATAAAAAGAAAAAAGATGATGTTCGAAAGTTTACTTTTGGCGGTTAACAATACGATAATGGCCGAATAAGATCGAAGCACAGTCCGAGTTGAAAAAAATTAATGAGGACAATTTTAATATTTATTTTATTTAAAATGAATGTTAAGTGTAACTTAGTACTTACTAGATTTTAAAAATTGTAAAATATTTACTTGGCAGTGGTGTTTATTTTTATTTTTGATGATTTAAAACATACAAGCCTTGTTTTTGTTTACGTAGCCTGTCAAATGTTGGTAACTAAAATTATGTTGGCATAATATTTTTGGTTATTTACACTTTTTTACATCATTGTTGGCACAACTGTGACATTGTAGAAAACTACTTACCTTTCTACTATCGACATATGTATTGTAGAATTCTGTATTGTACAGATCTACTGCTGTATGAATATCTATGATGATACTGGAATTAGATGATAATAATAACATGCAGTAGACAATAATTTTAATTTTGAACGCAGCTGCTATTTTCTATCTATCAGCATTGTATGAAGCTATCAGTTTTGAATGTATTACTATAAATGGCCGTAAGACTGCACTAGTGTACGCGTTTACTTTAATATATTACAACTAGATGTCACTATGTGTCACAAAACTTCGGAAAAACGGAATCACAGGGCAGGGCAGGGCTGGCTCAACGACTTTTAGGGCTAACAAAAGAATAAAAGACGATTTCAGTATATAGATCTTTATTTTAAATATTGAATTCGGCCTATTTTACAAAATTTCATTATAATTTCCTTAAAATTAGTCCTTTCTACTTTTTTTCTCAAACAATTCTATTTGTAGACGTGATTTATATTTTATTTGTAAAAATGGATTTCATATATTATTTGTATATGCCTATAATTAATTATTAAGCTCTTTATTTATATTTTTTTACTTAAAATTAAAATACGTAACTATTGGCAGTTGTTCTGTGAAATTTTAAGAGTAGGACCATTTATTTTTAACACCAACATTTTGTCTTGAAAAGGCGCAGTTTAAACTAATGTAACAAAATTGTTATTGCTCTGCTTTTAGATGAATATAATCTTCAAAATGAAAATCTAAAACCAACACTATAAACTGCATTTATTTTCTTGTTGTAGATGAAACAAAATTAAAAATAAATGGTACCGGCGATTATTTGATGTTTTACTAATTTTATTATATTATGAAGAATTAAACTAAGTATTTTTATAAATTTAATGCACAATATATGATATGTTCCAATTGTTCCGTGAAAGCCCTAAGTGTTATAAATTTGTAACTCATAAGTTGAGGTATCTTGTTTATGTTTTACGTATTTAAAATTTTTATAGAAAACATTTTCAGGTAAATTTTTTTATCACAAAAGGAATTTCATTTAAAATACGTAAGTTTTATAAAATTCAGCTTCAGAGCTAAACAATTATATCAATTGTTTTGACAGTTGACAGATCGTAGAAGATTTTTTTATACTAGAGTTGTAATACACTTGTTTACTGAATTAAAAATCTTGCTGCATACAAATAGAAAATTCTAATAAAACCGTACAGGTTGTACTTTTCAAAATTGGTAAAGCACAAAACTGTCAGTACTGTCAAGAATTTCTGACAGATGACGTATAATAAGTATGTGGATGACAAAATTAACAATTTTATTGGTTTTTAGGAATCCAGTAAATTACAGTGGGTCCTCTAGCAAAGACAACTTCGACAAAAATTATAAACTAACCTGTGGACCGTATATTATTTATATTGATAATAAAAACTATTGGGTAGGCTCATTCTTTTTATTTCATAAATAAGTTTGTCTTGTATTTAAAAAAAATCCAGTTGCTGGATGCTTTTCATAGAAAATAGAACATAACTATTAATATATCACAAAACAAAAATCCGACATTAAATCACGTAATTTGCATTCTGTCTGTATGAGTGGTTCATTAAGTTAACGTGTATATTTACTGCGTTTGGCCTCTAAAAAAACGATAAAATAATATTTTACTGCACAATAATATATCAACTGTTACTTTTCTATAACCTAAAATGCGATTTGGTACATAATTTTGTATTTTATTTAGATTATAATATACTAAATGTCATTTTTTTAGTGCATAAAACAAAATAATAAGATTTACATCAATGTTTACTGGTACACCTCATTTTTGACAGTTGGAAATGCTAGAGAAACCACTGTAGGTTATACAAAAGAAGTTTTTTTTTGTTAAAAATGAAAGAAGTTCTGGAATAAATTTGAGAAGCAAGACTCGAACCTGTAACCTCTGAGTTGCTACCCCATTAGATCACCGGATCGATATACATCCAGCGACATAATTGTCAATTTAAGCATAACATTCGATTTCAAATAAGTTTATTGGATCTTTTTTCCAATTTTCCAAGTATTATCTAGCCAAAAATGGGGCATCGTCGAAGGTACATCACACACGTGCAATAAATTTTCTCAAATTAACAATGAGGTAGCTGGATGTATATCGCTAGTTTAATGATTTTGACGTTGAGATGCCAGATACTTTTTCAAAAAACGGTAACAGGAAATTGAACAATTATTCCCGGTACATCAACTTTAAAAGAAATATCAATTTAACTCCTTAATTAGCTAGAAATCTACTAATTAGACCTCAATTTTTTAATTACACTCAAATTTAATTATGGCATTCCCAGGCCGGGCATGTCTTAAGAAACCACCTGCATTCAAAAAAACACATCTATCTATCCCTTGAGTAAGAACTCTTCTTTCGCTTTATCGCAGTGGAATCAAAATATATTTCTTGCAAACAGTCCCGAACACCAGTCCGGAAACATTACAGTAGATGTAGCTGAATCATGAGTAACAGTAACCTTCCTCTGTCTTACCAATGGAACTAAAAATATTTCGAGACAAAAATGAAAATCCTAGTGTTTACACGCCGTTTAGAAGCATAATAGAAACAGGAAGAGTTAGATAGACTCGAGAAATGTATAAACATTACCTTTGGCAGTCCATTCAAGACGGCTAAACTAAAGACCAAGACAAAAACTGTGAGTAAACAAGCACATAATACACCAACGAATAACCCAGGGGTCAGCTGCGCGATACAGGGGGCCCCCCAGGCCAAAATTTTCGAGGAGTCACCTTCAAGTGACCTCCAAAAACTTGAAACACAACAAAGAGAAAAAACCCCAGAAGAACTGAGAACAACCACCAGAAAACTATCCTCGGCTGACTCTGGGGAGTTCCATATGACAGCCAGGAGAGCTTAGAAGAAGACAAAATGAATATTAATCAGTCAAAAATCTATTAGAAGTATTAGAATCGAGTGATAGTGATATGGACACCACCGTGACTGACACACCAAAGAAAAAACAAGTTAAAGAATCTAACCCTGCTGCAAAACAGTACAAAATATTACCACTACCCTCCAAAGTTGTAAAAAAGTCATTAGACTTCAGTGGAAATTCTTCAATGTCCAAAACTGGTGGTGCGGTAAGTGCCCAATCAAGAGCTGAATTGAGTAGCTTCTCCTTTGGGTACGTACCCACACCCCTAGCCGCAAAATTACCAGCACCCACAGCCAGCATACCATCTCCTATAATAAATAACTCTCAGAGTAGAGCCAGACGGAATATTGATCCCAGATTAAGGGTAGAAGCTAACACAAGAGATATCCCAAGCAGTATCGGCCAAAAATATCATGACATATGACACAAACAGTCATACATCAGAAGATGAGCGTCAGAGAGGAGCTAAACCTCGTGACGAGAGCTTTAGTAATCTCCCACAGAGAGCTTTAGTAGTCTCCCACACTCCTCAAACAGACTCTCCGAGCCAAAAAACAAGACAGATAAAGCTGCTTATGAGAAAGAGACAGAAACAGAGGAAGGACAGTTCAGTAAACACACAGAAAGTGATGATCAATTTAAATATCCACGTAAATTCTCCTCCAACTTTCACAAACTGGTGCGAGAGAAGTCAAGGCAAATGCTAATCCCCACAAATAATTCTTACCAAGTACTAACATATGAATCCGACTCCGACAGTGAGGACGACATTGGAAAAATTGTGAAAAAGCGAAAAAAAGGCAAGCAATTCAAGCCAGTTAACGTGGATGACCTTCCAACGACACTAACTGAAGGCAACTGTCTAACTACTGGTTATGACATTAGGATGGCAACCCAGAAGGCACAGGTTCGAGACCTTTTTTAAACAATTTTCCAATTTTCTTCTGATTTATTCCTGAACCTCTTTCATTTATTTCGGCTATTAAACCGACAAAATCTCTCCAAATAAACTCATTAGTTTATAAATTCATTCATTATTAGTTTCATAATAACCTAGATAGAAAGTAACAATCTGAAATACCCGAATCAGTAATGCCAACGCAATACTTCGAAAGTACCATCCGAATCCGTACCGAATCCTTCCGATTCGTCGGAGTCCTTGTGAAACCACGTTCGCTCGATCGCCATTGGTCCGTTTTTGGTCAGAGGTGGCAGATAGACGTAGGGGGGCTGGCGCTATTCTTCCACCAGCTGCCACAGCATCAGCGATGCGTCGGTGCCGCCGACGGTGACGATGTTGCGGTCGTTGAAGAGGAACCTGGAACAGGCCACCGTTCCGCTGTATACCTTCTCTTCGTTGTATTCGGCCTTGGGACTCAAACAGGGATACCTAAATAATCGTAAATATCCATCGGTATCGCCGGAAATTAACAAATCGTGAGCGGCCGATCGACTTGCCGTGCTAATAATTGACGTCATCGGGTAAAATCTGTTGTTCCAAATACCTAGAAACAATTGTAATCAGATATAGCTTGATATGATGCTGAAAATGCGTATTTACCTGATATTAAGAACCCTACAGTCGAATTGTGCGTATACCATTTGACGTCTTTTACTGCAATCGGACTTTTTTCGGGAGATAAAGTTTTTACGTCCCCTAAAAATAATAAAATATTGATTTAATGAACAATAATATACCAAATGTTGCTTTTATATTGCTCAAAAAAGGATTCGGTCTATGATATTCTAAAAATGATATACCAAATGGGGATTTGTTACGACATAAAACATAATTTGGTTCATGATTTCAACAAAATAAAAATATTCACTTACAGAATGATAAATCGTAATCGGCAGTGACAGTTTGTATATAATTCGTATCAGAACTCCAATCCAGCTGCATGAGGGGTTGAGCGCCTCTAATTTTGTTCGATTTTTTGTAAGAATAACCATCTCTGCTTACCCTGAATAAATAAATACTTCCATTTTGCGAAGCTATGGCAATCAGGTCTCCAGCTAAAAAATATTATACATATTTAAGAGGTTATTTAGTTTTTAATGAAAAATATGTAGTAGAAATCGTATCGTATATTACTTGGGTTGTATCCAACGCAGTTTAACGGGGATCCACACACCCTAATGGTGTTGACTACCACTCCGGTTTCCGAGTTCATGATTATCAAGTGACCTTCAGTGCTTCCAACTGCTAAGGCCACTCCGAAGGGATGGAAGCACAAAGAAATGCATTCAAAAGATACCTAAAAATGAGAATTTTTAAAACAAGTCCTATAAAAAGGTTTTGAAACTTACCTGAGTCACCCATATAAGTTTGTTTTTCCTCCATAAGGCTATGTTTTTATCATGACCTGCTGTAGCAAAAACTTCGTCGTCTGGGTGAACTGCCAAGCCCCAAAGTTGCCTTCCGTGTCCAAAGACCACCTGAAACACCAGATTTTAGCCCAATTAATCCGTGACAAACAGGGTCGTTATAATGAAATAAAACTTTATTCTCGTATTTTTTTTTTTGGGCAAAAAGCTTATATGAACTTGTCGCCATCTTGTATGCAGCCAGTATCGTGCAGTGTTGAGTAACAGTTGTAATGCAGGCCACAAGGCAACGCCATCCAATACAGTGAAGCAGTTAGCAATGCTTTGCTTCACTAAATTATAATAATTCGTGTTTTTTGACTTTCTGAGATCGAACTAGGCAAAATTGTATGACAAAAATGTTTCGCCGTGACTTAAAAAAAATAACATTATGCGTTGTACAAAAAAAATGCCTAGCGTCGATGAAATGATTGGACATTTTACAACAGAAACGTAAAGCTGACAAACATCGAAACACCGTGGACAGTAAACTAGATGCAAATTGCAAATCTGCTGTCTAAATTATTTTATACTGGCGTGACGATACTTTTTTTTTAAATTAAAATGCGATTTTGTACTTAATTTCGAATTTCTTTAAAAATAATATACCAAAAGTTGTTTTATTTCTGCATAAAACGTAATTTGGTTCATGATTTCGACAAAGCGATTTAATTAAAACAGTTTAACATAAACTTTTGAAATTTAAGGTGATTATATTGAAATGTATTTTTTTTTTCGTGTTTACTGTCCAGCCTTAACATGCCGTTCTTTGTTCTTGCAGATATAGATGTACCTGTAAGAAATATGGCCGTTCTTTTTTAACAATTTCTTCAAAAAATACACTATTTCCTCTATCTACTCCGCCTCTCATAATTTCTTGATACTTGTGTCTCTGGCACGTCTGAGCAACAATAAAGACAATCCTCAGTTTAAAATTTAATTCAATAGTGAAAAGTTTTAGTATTTTGAGCAGTTTTTTTAATGTATTTGACAAAATATAGCGATAGAATGTAAAAATACATGTTTTGAGTGGAAACTTTCTTTTTTGAAGTGTAAAGTTACATTTGAATTATATCCACGTTATTTAATTTAAATTTTGAATATTTGAAAGTAAAATTACACCATTGGAAAGTAAAATCATACCATTTTAAATTAAAATCACAACATTTAAATGTAAAATCCCTGCTTTTGTCTATAAAGTTGCATTTAAATATAAAAAACATTATTTAATGTAAATTTTGAATATTTGAATGTAAATTTACATCTTTTAAATGTAAAATTACATTTGAATGTAAAATCACTGATTTGGTTTATAAAGTTATATTTAAATATAACACGCGTGTTTTAATATAAATTTACAATATTTAAATGTAAAATCGCAGCATTAATATGCGCTATTTAATGTAAAGTTAGAATTCTGAAAGTATAGCCTTTTAATGTGAAAAATACCTCTAGTGAATGTAAAATTCCTGCTTTTGTCTATAAAATTACATTTGAATAAAAAACCACAATATTTAATATAAATTTTGAATATTTGAATGTAAATTCACATCTTAAAAATGTAAAATTTTATTTAAATGTAAAATCGTTGCTTTGATCTATAAATTTACATTTGAATACAATATACGTTATTTAATGTAAATTTAAAATTCTAAAAGTATAGCTTTTGAATGTAAAAAATACCTCTAGTGAGTTTTTATCTATAAAATTGCGTTTAAATAAAAACCATATTATTTAATGTAAATTTTGAATATTTTAATGTAAATTCACATCTTTAAAATGTGAAATTGTATCATTTAAATGAAAAATCACTGCTTTGATCTATAAAGTTACATTTAAATATAATTCACATTATTTAAATGGAAAATTATATAATTTGAAAAGTATATCGGTTAAATGTAAATAACTGTTCTTTTGTGTGTAAAATCCCTGTTTTGACCTGTACAGGTAAATTTGAATATAAAACCGCATTATTGAATGTAAATTTTGAATATTTAAATGTAAATTCACATCTTTGAAATGTAAAATTACAATATTTGAATGTAAAATATTTGCTTTGAACTATACAGTTACATTTGAATATAAAATACCTTATTTAATGTAAATTTGGAATATTTAAATGAAATATCACAATGTTTGAATGAAAATGTAAAATAATAGAATTCGAAAAGTATAGCGTTTGAATGTTAAAAATTCGCCTAGTGTAAAATCCCTGCATTGTTCTGTAAAGTCATATATATTTAAATAAAAAACCACATTATTTAATGTAAATATTAAAAATATAAATGTAATTCACATGTATAAAATGTAAAATTACATCATTAGTTGATCTATAAAATAGTATTTAAATAATTTATACGTTATTTAATGTAAATTCACATCTTTGAAATGTAAAATTACAATATTTGAATGAAAATAGTTGCTTTGAACTATACAGTTACATTTGAATATAAAATACCTTATTTAATGTAAATTTGGAATATTTAAATGAAATATCACAGTGTTTGAATGAAAATGTAAAATAATAGAATTCGAAAAGTATAGCGTTTGCATGTTAAAAATTCGCCTAGTGTAAAATCCCTGCATTGTTCTATAAGGTTATATTTAAATAAAAAAACCACATTATTTAATATATTAAATATATTATTAAATACAAATGTAATTCACATGTATAAAATATAAAATTACATCATTAGTTGATCTATAAAATGGTATTTAAATAATTTACACGTTATTTTTTTTGTGTCATCGGCATCAACTGCTACGGTTATTAGCCTCGTGTTCTGTGTAGGCTTTGTTACTGTTTCCCAGCGCCACTTTAGGAACAGCACTTTTAATTAGTACCCAACAGTGAATGGTCGAGTGGGAATACGTTATTTAATGTAAATTTATAATATTTAAGCATACAATCACAGCATTTGAATGGAAAAGTTACACCATATAAATGTAAAATCATAGAATTTAAAAAGTACAGCATTTAAATGTAAAAATACGCATTTTGAATGTGAAAACCATGATTTGGTCTATAACATTTAAATATAAAACCACATTTCATTTAAATTTTAAATATTTTAATGTAAATTCACATAACTAAAATGTTAAATTACAATATTTGAATGTAAAATAGCTGTTTCATACTATAAGATTATATTTGAATATAATACGCGTTATTTAATATAAATTTACAATATTTAAATGTAAAATCACAGCATTTGAATAAAAAAATTAAACCATTTGAATTTAAAATCATAGAATTTGAAAACTGTAAAGTTTTAATCTAAAAAAATATGCCTTTTAAGTGTAAAATCGCTGCTTTGGTCTATAAAGTTACATTTGAATATAAAATTACGTTATTTAATGTAAATGTATACTATTTAAATGTAAAATCACAGCATTTGAATGGAAAAATACACCAATTGAATGTAAAATCTCAGATTTTTAGTTTCATTTCGTCATAGAGTAGAAATATGGCTCTTGAGTGTAAAATACCCGCTTCGGAGCGTAAAGTTACATTTTATTGTAAAAGCACGCCGTTTATTGTAAAGATACACCATTTTAATGTAAAATCACAAAATTTGAATGCATAAAATCACAGCTTGTTATTAAAAATAAAGTAATTTTAATAGTTTTTATACCTGGTTGAATCTCCTCTGTAGGGATCCTTCCAAAATATTATTCTTCGTCGTGCCTACATATATATTTCCATCGTTCCTTCCTGGTCTTTGTGGATAAATCGATCTGACGCCACCAAATACATCTGGAAGCTGTAATAGTATATTAAATATCAATCCCAATAGTACCATATTTTTAAAATCAGTTAAACTTACTTTAGTATCAGTAATTTTCTTGTAATTCTGCAAAGAATCCCACGCTGCTATGCGTCTATCCTTCTCACCACCAGACAAAAGAGTGCCCTCTGACAGCATTATCAAGGAACTGACGCCCTTATTGTGTGCCTCGTACTCCATCCTGACGAAATAAGCCCCATCCGCGTCCACGCTGTAGATCGTTATGAAACCGTCACTATCAGCCGTGATTACGTCACCATCTTGCTCGAATTGCAATGACGTAATCAGCGTCCTCGAGGGCTTGAAAAATAAACCAAAAATTCTCGCTTGACCAGATAACGTCAAAGTTTGACAGATAAATTTTTGACATCTGTCAAAAAAATTATGAGCATAGGTTTGACAGCTGTCAAAAACAGACTCGGCCTTATCTAGTCGACACTTACCGGTTTTATGATGTCTGTTCTTTCGAAAAATCCATCTTTCCGTCGATTCCAAAAAGTCAAATGGCCCTTTCCGTGTGTGATCATCAAGTTATCGTCCAAAGGGTGGAAAGCTGCCCCCGTAAGTTCTTCTTGTAAAGTCTGTAAAATCAATAAATAAATAGTAAGAAATGTGCAGCTTTAACTGTATCAAATTCAATTAATACGGCATTGAAATTTATTCAATTTTTTTATTACATTAATGTGCAAAAGGGCTGAATGCTGAATCATGAAAAGAGAGTTCAAGGTCGGCGGGAGGGTTTGAATGACCATCGCTAAAGGGTCGTTAGTTAGTTGTTATGTATGCGAATGGAAAACGTGACACGAAAACGGTATTTATGCAGATTTTCCTTTACACTATTGACCGATTAATAGGAATAAATAAGAAACGGCGGTTTAAAAAAATTGACAAAAAATTAATTGTAAATAGTTGTATATCATGACCCTATCGCACGAAGACGAGGTTTGAGCATGACGCCGTAGGGCGTAGGTGAACGAATATACAAATGTAGTATTCTGAATCGATTCTTGTCTCAAATTTTCTAGACATATGAGTCATTAATGTCAAATTTTATGCAATGTTTTTAAGCAACTTTACCCAAAGAGGGTAATATTAAAGCATTGCGAATCTTATTCACTTATTTTCTGCAAGAACGTCATAACACAAAAATGTTGTTTTTACAGTAGAGTGATAAAATATAATGATTGAGTAGAGTATTTTAGCAAATCATAGTCACAATAAAGGAAATAAAACAGTGTTTGGCGCTTCCATCACAATAGTTACTCAGTAACTGAAATATGACGATATTTAAATTACAGCATTGAAAAGAAAATCTTTTTGGATCTAACGGCATTTTAAAAGAGTCCAAATATGACACTTTAATGTGTCAATAACTCAAGAATTACAGTTTTTGAGTTATGAAGTTCTTACAACAATCATCTCTAAACACTGTTTGACGCTTCTATCAAAACAGTTACCCAGTAACTGAAATATGACAATATTAAAATTACAGCATTGAAATAAGAAGAAAATCTTTTTGTATCTAACGACATTATAAAAGAGTCCAAATGTGATACTTTACCAGATAATAGGGCCTTTCTTTGCGATTTTTAATGTGTTGGTAACTAAAAAATTACAATATTTGAGTTATGACGTTCTTGCAGCGAATGAGCGTATCATCTTTAATCACTGTTTGAAGCTTCCATCACAACAGTTACCCAGTAATTGAAATATGACGATATTGAAATTACAGCATTGAAATAAGAAGAAAATCTTTTGGTATCTAACGGCATTATAAAAGAGTCCAAATGTGACACTTTACCAGATAATAGGGCATTTCTTTGCGATTTTTATTGTGTCAATAACTCAAAAATAAAATTTTTTGAGTTATGACGTTCTTGCAGCAAATGACCGTATCATCTTTAACCACTGTTTGATGCTTCCATCACAACAGTTACCCAGTAACTGAAATATGACTATATTAAAATTACAGCATTGAAATAAAAAGAACATTTTTTGATATCTGATGGCATAAAAGAGACCAAATGTGAAACTTTTCCAGATAATAGGGCATTTTTTTACGATTTTTAATATGTCAATTACTCAAAAGTTACATTTTATGAGTTATGACGTTCTTGCAGCAAATGAGCGTATCATATCTCTAAACACTGTTTGACGCTTCCATCACAACGGTTACCCAGTAACTAAAATATGACGATATTGAAATAAGAAGAATATCTTTTTATATCTAATGGCATTATAAAAGAGTCCAAATGTGACACTTTACCAGATAATAGGGCATTTCTTTGCGATTTTTAATGTGTCAATTAATCAAAAATTAAATTTTTTGAGTTATGACGTTCTTGCAGCAAATGAGCGTATCATCTCTAAACACTGTTTGACGCTTCCATCACAACAGTTACCCAATTACTGAAATATGACGATATTGAAATTACAGCATTGAAATAGGGCCTTTTTGCCATTTTTAATGTGTCAATAACTCAAAAATTAAATTTTTTGAGTTATGACGTTCTTGTAGTAAATGAGCGTATTATCTCTAAAATTTCCTACTGCGATACAGTCCATAGCCTTGCATTCAATTATTATGACTCGCAACGATTATAGAAGATCCAGAATTCTTGTCTACGTTTTTTCTTTGGGATTTGGAAGTTTAAGTCATATTTCTCATAAATTTCTAGAAGCTAAATGGCTAAGGTTCAATTCCTAGAGGAAATTATATATAATTTTAAATATTATTTTAGGTTATTAAGATAAAATGTTTAGTTTTAAAAATAATTTATGAGTTTTACTAATTTATAAAATAAAATAAACTTAAAAAAGATTTAATTTTACTTAATTCAGTGTTACTATCTTTAAATTTTCTAATAGAAATTAGGGCCATGTCATACCTCATTTGAAAGATATTTTCATTATCTTTACGTCCATATAAACAGTTTTAGATTTTCAAGTTTTTATACAAAACACAACCTTATTGTATATTGTATTTAAAAAAAGTTTTCAGATTAGGCTCTAAAAAGTTATCACCAAATTTGAAATAGATCTCAATGGATTTATATTATTAAAGTATAAACATTTTTGGCTATACACTGTATATTTTTTACTTTGTATGTAGTTCATGTATTTTTTTTATGATGGACTTTTCTCTAATAATAAATAAATAAATAGAGAATACGTTGATACACTTAATAAGAAAAAAAAAATCATAGATCTCTACACTTAACTTCTATTTTAATTGTATTAAATGTATTAAATTACGTTAACTTAATACTTACTGCGACTTTTCCAAGTAGATGTCCCCACTGCCACTGCCACACCGACAGTATACTTTCCCTTCCAGCGTCGACAGCTAATACGTAACTTCCACCGTTCTGGAAATTTAAAAATGTAAAATAATATAAGATTTCATGCCAAATAAAATTACCAATTGCGAAAAAGCAACAGCCGATACACCAACTTCGAATTCTCCCATACCGAAAACGTATAAAGTTTGCAGAGTTTCCGTACTCCATATCCTTATGTGAGCCTGAGTTTTCCTATTTCTACCAGCTCGTTGACCTGATGCAACCATTTCTCTTGAAGGATGTAATTCCATACTAAAAAATAAAATAATAAAATATTAAAGTTTTAAGGTTTCGATATAAATTAATTTTTTCAAAAATAATTAATCATTGCTGAGCTCCAGGCCTTTATGGAAAGGGATATAAAAGTTTAAAAGACCAGTAGAAGTAGCCTCACTGATAAGAAAAACATGGACACGTTACCTTGAAGCCAAAGCTTGTTTGTGCAAAACATCTAGCTGAAGTATTTAAACAATGACGATACAGAAATCCTAAATTACTTGATGTTCCATTCTAACTTTCTTTGCCATTAAAATACTTCACACCAACAGCAGAGTATTCAACCAAACCAAAAAAAGCGCCTGGCTATAATCTAATTTGTAGGAAACTGCTGAAGCATCTCCCTAGGAAGGCAGATGCACTACTAACCACTCTCTTCAATAAGTAAACTCATTAAAAAACCTACGGAAGCAGCATTGTATATGCTTAAAAGCCTCTTACCCATCCTCTCCAAAGTATTTGAAATATTATTATTAAGCAGAATCAAATAAACACTCCCTACAGAAGAATTACCTAATTCCTAACTATCAAATTGGATTCGAAGAAAATTACTTAACAATACAGCAGTGCCATAGACTGGTTAATAAAATTAAAGAGTCCCTAGAGAACAGATGTCTTCCTGGATGTGTAACAAGCATTCGACAAAGTGTGGCATACTGGTTGAAATACACCCTGACTAGCTTTACTTAGTGATAAAATAAAGTCAAATACGATAAATCAATTCCTCTTACTATTCCTTTGATGTTCACTGCAGACTTACCAACTATAGAGTCCACTATAACTGCAACATCTGCTGGTGACAGAGCAATTCTAACCTCAGAACTGATCCCCATCAAAGCCTCCCAAAAATTGGCAAAACAAGTGGAGGATCAAAGTTAATACACATTACTTTCTCTAACAGATGAGAGTCATATCCTATAAGCCACAATGAACAATGCACCCAACACAATCAATCAAAAGTAAAGTACCTGGGAATACACTTAGATAGAAAATTAACCTGGAAGACACACATTCAAGCTAAGATGCAGTAAAAGGACCTAAAATTGAGACAAATTTATTAGTTAATAGGCAGAATATTACAGCTATCATTTCAAAATAAGCTCCTTATTTATAAGATCATAATTAGACCAATTTGGACATAGACTGTAGGACCTTAGTAAGCCCTCAAACATAAAGATGCTACAAATTGTTCAATCCAAAATGATTCATGGTATATCGAATTATACCACACATTAAGGCCTCAGCATTTCATACAACCGGTGAAACCAAAATGAACTCTAACTTAACCAAGACTATGCTAGAAAGAAAACTGCAACCTTTTTGGTCAGAAGATTTGACTAATAATAATTATTATGTAGTACCTTCAACGCATTGCCCTCACCTTAAGCTTACATTTACTTAATACTTTTGTATTAGAGAGTAAATTGTAAATTTGTAATAGAGAAATAAAAAAAAATAAGGCAGCAGCATCAGAATTTTTGTAAAGACTGAGTGGTACGATCTTCAAAAGTACCAAATGCTTATACAAGTATTGCATCAGTTCTAGAATAACAGTGAAGGGTTTTTGGGACGAAGAGGTTGGTTGAAGGCCAATGTTAGATATGTAAAAAATCCTAAAACGTTGAAGAACACTTCAATCAACGCAGCTGGGCAACTTATTTTGATGCTGGAACGGTTGAACATGAGAAACATCATTCGTTCTAGGATAACATATTCAAAGACTAAGATCATTCTTGTTTAAAATAGTCAAAACTGCAAAATTCTATTGGCGAAAAACTGTATAGATAGGGTTAAGAAACGAAAATAATTAGAGAATCTGGATACTACATGAGCGTTCTTCGACTCATTTTTGAGGTTGACTGGAATAAATTCGTTCTAGAAGAAAATCTTTAAAGATTGAGATCATTCTTGTTTAAATTATCTTTATAAGATTAAGAAACTAAAAGAGTTACTGTTTTTGACTGTTCGTGAACACATGGGCGGTCATAGACTCATTTTTGAGGTTGTTCGAGAAAAACTGAACTCATTTTTAAAAAACATTGTGAGAAAAGTAGCAGAAGATGTTTACTTATCAGCATTTTCGTAAATTCTTCTTCTTTAATACCAACTACTTTAACATCTCTTTCGAATTCTTCTTTTTCTTTTACATATTTTTAAATTATTCTTGAAGTTGCTTCCACGTCAGCACTTATGTCAAAATAAATAGAAGAGGAAAACCAAACTAATCAGTTCAGATACTTACCATTGTATATCTTCTGTATGTCCAGTGTAATGCCTTTGCGTTTCTTCATCTCTATCGTACATTACAGCCACAGCTGCCACGAAATAGAGCAACTCACCAGTAGGCAATACCCAAAGATTTCTTTTGGAGTCAGTTCCTCGATAGCCGTACCTGAGTTAACTTTGTTAAGGAAAATAGAAAAAGTGTTGGAACTAAAGCAGTACTTTTAGCTTAGGTATTCCTGATATGAAACTTTAACGTATTTACAGATAAGTTGTTTCAGTGAAATTTTCAGGTAGGTATAAATAAAGGACCAAGAACCAATAATATACCAACCCAGAAATAAAAAAAAATATTCAGTTGTTCAGTAAATAGTTTAATAATGAGAAGAATGTAAAAATATGGAGAAGTTAAAAAAGTTTTATCTATAATGTATGCTGCCTGAATTGGTAGATCCAAGACATGACCGGGGTATGTCATTAAGAGGACCTGATTATATTTTAGATATTTTATATACATTGTAAAAAAATAATATCAAACTGTTTGGTCAATCAAAAACAAAATTAAATTATCTCATAATTTCTGATACAAATACATCATATCTAAGAATTAAAAATATCTGATGACGTTTGTTCGTTCTTCTATATTATTCAGTTAAGTTAAAAGCAGAAACTCATAGCCTTGTAGAAATTAACTAAAAATAATTCAGGCTGTTTATAAGATAGTTGAAGTCAAAAAGAGAAAAGTTGTAATATATCTATGATACTATAAAAGGAATAGTCTTCTCAAAATAACACTATTGGTTTAGATAAATGTTGGTGTGTTTTTCATCTCCTGAAATTTTTTTAAAAGTGGATATATTAGGTTTTGCACGCGAGCTCCTTAATTGAATAAAACAATGAATTATTTATTGATATACAAATTTTCTTTGCTTAAATTCGACTGAAATTATATATTTCGGTTTGCGATTAAATTTTTTTTACATTGTCAGTGTGGGTCTAAAAAATACACTTTCTTTGTTCCACAAAACTATGATTTAGCATTTTTAACGTGCTAACATACTAGTGGTTGAGATTGACACGCAAAAAAATAAACACGAAAGGCTCAACATTGTTCTTAGTTCTGGCTCTGACACGCCGGAAGGTCACTATTCCGTTCACAATACAAATTTTAGGTCATGTCATAACACACTTTTAAACTTCAATTAGGGTAAATAACAACCTGGTCGTTATATGAAAATAGACTGTATTTAAGTAGTAAAAATTATTAGTCAGGGAGCCGAATGCAGAAATCTTACTTTTTAATTACGAATAAAAATCGTTTTTGGATAAAACAATTTATCTTAAATTGAATGTAAAACCAGAGAAAACCAACAAGAAGTGTATGTTTTTATAAAAATCAGTTCTTATTTATTATACCATAAAGCAAAAGAATAATACCTTTGTTTTTATGGTTCTTACACCTTATTATTGAATTTTAAGTTATAGGTGTTTGAGTTAAAAGTTTTTTTTATAGAGAAACTGAAACCAGAAAAATCAGTCAATTGTTCATGCAGCGCATATGGTTCTCTTCTTTTCTCACAGCATTTGTAGATTTGACCGTCTTATTTACGAAGCATTAAAGATGATTGTAGGTGTCTCTACCATACCCTTTTCTTTCTGTTCTGCTTCTGTCATCTGTCACAATTCATAATTCACAACTTATCACGATTCTCGTTTGTTATGTGTTTTGGAAAGTTTTTAATATCTTTATTTTATATTGTGGCTACCTTTATATTAAACCTAATTCAAATAGCTTTATTTTTAAGCACAAAAGAAGAAGAGCATGAAACTTAATTATTGCTTGCTTATAGTAGATAAGGACACCGATATTATGGCATCTTTTCCCACCTAATTTATTAATGGGTTTTAAAGAGTAGTCAGAGTAGATGAGCAACAGGGATTCTGTGACACTGCTTCCAAAAATCACCGCAAGATGGTGTCACATGTCAGTGTTAAGAATTGAAACTTGGGTAAGTAGTTTGCAACTTTAGGTGATACACTGTGGCGGCCATCATTGACTTAAAAAATTATTGGGGTAATCGAAAAAACAATGCCAAAAGGGCATTAGTTAAAAATCTTTGTTTTGTGTTAGTCAGAATCGAATGAATCAAGCTGCACTATGAAGGAGACGTGATATAGAATAACTTTGAAGAGAAAAATCAGGGGCAATGGTAATGCCAAAAAGGAATTGGTGAATATCTTCGCTATTATTGATCCGATTCAAACAGGACAAAAGGCAATGTAAAGAACACGTGATGCAGATTAACTTTAAAAAATCATGTTTAATCCTATTACCAAAAAGACATTAAAGAATATCTCCGCTATTATGGGTTCGCTTCAAACGAGATAAACAAAACAAAAGAAACGTGACAGAAATTAACGTTGAAGAGAAAAATTATACACAGTAGCATTACCAAAAAGACATTAACGAATATCTCCATTATTAATAATCCGAATCAAACAGGATAAACGGCAATATGATGGAGACGTGACGTAGATTAACGTTGAAGAGAAAAATCATGTGCAGTAGCAATGCCAAAAGGATATTAATGTATATGTCCGCTATTATTCGTCGGAATCAAACAGGACAAACGGCACTATGAAGAAGTTGTGACGTAGATTAACGTTGCAAGGAAAATTCATGCGCAGCAGCATTTAATATTTTCAAAGTTAGTAGCTTTGATTTTTCTTTAATAATAATGTTAAGACTGCTTTTTAAAGATTGTTTATTTTTAATATTTTTTATGGATTTAGGAATTAGGTTATATTATATCTTGTGTCCAAAATATGAAATAAAATTTTGAGTGGGTATTTTTTAAAAAGAGACACTGGCACGCTTATTTAGTAAAGCTCTTGTAGATATTTGTTACGTATTTATTACATATTTTGAACAGCATAAATTATTTATAGAAAATATTTGACTTCCAAATCAAAAATTCAAAATTATTGTAAGATTTAGTCCACTACAATTTCAGATTTTAGAACCTTGACTCAATTTTTCTGGACGAATTTCTCTTGAATCGTTTACTCACGTCCATTCATTTACTTCGTTACAACTTTATTGTGAGCTTCTATTAATGTTTTGTACACAAAGATAATAATACTTGATTACGACCTCCCTAAACTGTGTTGGTATATAAATCTGGAGAAAAGTAGAGCAACTCACTCAATTTGCATAATTCGCGTAGAAATAAAAGTGCATGTCTTCGGGTAATTCCTCGAGTTGGAAGGTTAGAAAAACGCACATGTGCATTTTTAAGCGTGCATAATGGTAGATTAACGTTTATCGTATTTTTTTCTCCGTTATCATTAATCATGTTTGTTTGCCTATTCGAAGTTATCTACAGTTGAATCGCTGGATATTTTCCCATGCTTCACCAATAGTTTTTATGTACCATCATTGTCTACTATCTGTAAATTACAAGTCGGTAATGTTAACTATCTTTTTTATTTTTATTTACAATTAAAAAATCTGGTAAAGTGTGTCCTTACAAAAAAATGATACGTCACTGAACCAGAGAGTCTCTTTACCTCTCCCCTTGTTCCTGCTTTATCACGTCTTCAATAGATGTTGATAAATTTCAATCGCTTATATAGGTAGGGGAGAACCTGTAACACTTTTTTGACACACATTTGCACAAATTTACAGTTAATCCTTGCCTTCTAGAAATATTTTGCTGTAAACGCATCAGCGTTGGAGCGCTCAATGTCGATGCCTTAAAAAACCGCTGTACAAAATGCTAAGGTCATTCTTAAATATATATTTTTTATCATTTTGTACTATTTGTTAGTATTCATTTGGCATAAAACCTAAAATGTATATTAGTTCGTCTACAGTGTCACAAGTCCAAGCCCTTAAGAGTTGGTGGTATATTTATAAAAGAAATAAATTGCGCTATAGTTAACTGTGAGTATCTACTTTCAATTTGGCATAATAAGTTATGGATAAGTTATTCTTTTGAGCAGATATTTCAATTTGAATTTTAATGAACATTTTTAAACTTCTTATCTCGAAATTTGTACTTTTTGAGTTTTGCCGGTGTTCATTAAAGGTAGCGATGTGTAAGTTTCAAGCTTGCTTAAAAGTGTCACTTGCTTCCCTACCAAAATTCGATTCACGCTTCGTCTTTTGGGGTATTTAAGGTTTAAGGGCCAAAATATTTTTGGATTTATTAGGGAATTATTTGACTGTTCTATGGTATCTGACTAAGTTTGATCTTTTTTATGTTTAAAATTTTGTAGGCTTAATTGACAAATAAATTTGCAACTGATATCTTCAATTCCTAAACTAATATCTACCCTAGTAGTCCCATCACATGCATTCGTGACAGACCCCTTAGCTCTTAACATAGTCACCACTAGCCCCTATATTCAGGGGAATAGGGGTGAAACGTACATCGTGACAATTATTTAAAGAACACGTCATGTAGTAACAATATGATTTTGAATTTTCAACTATAACGAGTAACATTTTACCTAAACATGTTTTGTTTAATCGTCTTATTTTTTATCAGAGAATCTTCAGTTGTTTTATGTTCTAAAGTTAATGGAAGATCCTGTATGTTTTTGTCATCGTTGATTGTCACCCTGTGTAGTAGCCATATGTATTCTTTTTTTGGAATTACTCAGCCAATGGAAAGTAAAACTCGCTGGTTTAAAAAACACGATAACAGATTATCATTCACTGACTTAGAACATGAAATTTGGAACATTGTATCAGAAATACATAACTTTACTTTTTCATTTGAGGCATGAAGAATAATGATAAATATTGAGACTTAAAAATGAGTAAAGTTTTTGCGAAGTGGTGTACTTTTTTGAGTGATATAATGAAAATTCTAGTGATACTCCCGTCTCAAGTCTATTTATAAATTTTGATATAATTTTTAACCGCATAAATTGCTTAATTGCAACGCCTGAGTGAGAATCATTGCTTTAATGAAAAGACAAAAGATAGTATAACTATATTTAAACAACCTTTATTTTAACAGTAATTCTCGCTTTCTTCTATTTGAATCAATGATGTTATTCGTTCAATAGTGAATCTTAGAATAAATCCATTAGAACTAATTCCTACTCAGCCAGTTTTTTTGTAAAAAAATATGTGAAGGGACCCTAAAATCAGGATATTATTGCTATACTTCCTATGCAGATAGAAAAATATTTGATTATAAAGGATACACCCACTCTAAGGACATCTTTTTGTCGGGCGGCGTATTATCTATTGGGGCGTGATGTAATGGAGGATAAAAAGTCCTTCTTAACCCTTTTATCGTTACCCTAATTGGTTCTTCTTTTAAAACCTCTAATAATGTATAATCTGTAAAAGGGGAACATTAAATATCGCACTCTCCCTTCAAAGGTGACATAAGTCAAAAAATCATTATTTTAATACAGGAAAATTATGTATATTTTTTTATGAGCAAGCGTCGGCCTTTCTTGAGTTATGTCTCTTTTTATGATTGTGACTATATAGAACAAATTTTGTTTTATAACTATAAAGTGATGATGGAAGAAATATTTATTTATCACAAATAAAATTATTAATATTAAAGAGAGAAAAATACTGTAACCATAAAAAATATTCTATGAAAAAATACAAAAAATAAAAATTATTCCAAAATAATTTTAGTAATAATAAATTAATTGTCTACATTAAGCTACTATAAAAGACGGCGTAATACTTTTTAATGTGATTACTTTCTGATAAAAACAATAAGTCTTTTTTATTTTATTTTTATTGCGCTGTGGTACGGTTATTTCAAAGTGTGTATGACGATAAAACACATACCTTTTTACACCATTTTATAGAGCAAAATTGACACAACTCAAAATATGACACTTTTGATGTGTTAAAAACTGACTATCTGATGTTTATAGAAATGAGCTTGTGACACTTTTACAGATAAAAATTATATTGTTTTTATTAGGTTTTTCGATATAAAACAAAAACGGATGCTCTTTGAGCTGTATCACTATTGAAGAGGGGATACGATATCTGGTTAATAAGTCACAAGTCTGAGAATTTACAAAACTAAAATAAACCTTATTTTACCTATATCGTTTTATAGAGCAAAACTGACACAAATCAAAATATGACAGTTTTTAATGTGATAAGAAGAAACTTTGTATGAGCTTGTGACACTTTTGCAGATAAAAATTATAATAAGGTTTTATTAGGTTTGTCGATATAAAACCAAAACTGGTTCTTTTTGAGTTGTGTCACTATTGAAGAGAGAGTGCGGATATGTGGATAACAAACCACAACTCTGAAAATTTACATAAATAAAAACGTTTTTATATCCTCACCATTTGTTCTAATAATCTCACTCTCAGGAGCATACAACGCCCTCGGCCTGCTCTTACTCCTAGACCGTCTCTGTTTACTAATATCTTCGACGATCGCCGTTTGTGGTCCACGCGATCTCGCCCGTCTGACAGGTGACAGCATGACGGCCGGCGTCGCAGCGCCACCTACGCTTCCCATTCCCAGATAAAACGTGTCCACGTCGGCGAACTCGTTCCTCAGCTGGGAAAAGCTGCGCACTTCTTGGCCCGACACCGTGTACATGCGTTTCGCGCCGTTCATCTTCAGCACTTGACCGAGGTCTTCGAGCACTTCCTCGAACGGTTGGCTGGTGCGTAGGTTGAGCAGAACGCGGCACTGAAATAAATTGTTTGTGCAACTAGTGGGAAAAACAACACTCTACGATCGTGGGAACAGTGTTGTATACTTTATTTTTTCTACGATTACTTATTTGCCGTTCGTAAATATTTTGATACATTTTTAAAGAAACAATTTTTTTTATTTGGCTTTTCTCGTACTTTGGATGGATATTAAAAATATTAAAAAATAAAATAAAACAAGTAAACAAGATTTCAGTAGAGAGTTTTTAACAATACAAAAGTCAGAGGTAACTATGTTAAGCCATCAAATTTATTACCTAGATAGTTAGATATTTTAAGGAGGCAATATGAATGATTTAAAAAATGGTACTTATAGTAATCATAGAAAAAAGAAATTAAATGAATAACATTTGGTTACGGTGAATTTAAAAGAGGAGATTTAAAAAAAACACCCTGTATAGGTAATACATAATTTCTGTGTCACTAAAGGAAAACTTATAGCAAAGTAACGCATATCAGCAAACACCGCACGTTTTTACGATTTGTTTAAAAGTTATAAGCTCTGGAAATGGGCTACTTTTCATTGGGACACCCTGTATATTAAAATAATAAATAAGTTTCATACCTGTACAGTGTGATCCATGTTGTTAATTATTCGAATAACTCTGCCCGTGCTGGGTTTAATAGGACCGCCCCCTGGCGGTGGAACGTCAGCTTCGACGATCGAAGCTTTTCGACTGGGGGCCTTACTCCAGCCCTGCCCACCCGGTGCGGCGTACCAAATGCCGTTTTTCTTTCCATAACTGGCAGCCTGAGATATAAAATTACTGTATTATGCAACGGTCATTTAATAGTAGTCATTACATATGCTTTTTTGGGTATATCATATAAGAAGATCGGTAAAATATACTACAACTTATACAAGGAAAAATAATGATAATAAACAAAAAAAAAACATAGAGAGGATAGAAGGAATGCGTAATATAGACCAGATTTATGATATATACATTTTTTTGCATCATCCTCAAATGCTGATTTGTAATTCTTCTAAAATTTGTTACATCTAGAGTGGCCTAATAAAAATTTTGATGAATTTACTATCCCTTGCCTATGTTTAATGTTGGCATGCTTAAAAATCAGATTTATGAATGAGTTGCACATCAAACCACTTATTCATTTGCAGCCGATTATTGTAAACAGCCAATCCTTTGTAAAGGAAGGCATAATAAGAGAAAGAAAATAGTTTTTCTTTGTTATGGTTCTCAATCTCAAACATATCTCTCAGAAAGTCTAGATACCACTATCAATAAAATGACCCCCTTCATTCTGGCCGCCATATTAAGTGGATTAAATTTTGGCTTCACTGATTTTTAATTGTTGTGTTCTGTAATAGGTGAACACTGACAATATGCATTTTGCTATTATTTGTGAGTGAGTGAGATGAATAATTTATAGGTTAAAATTAGGAACAAAACTTTGATAAACCTTTTTGGCTTGTCAAGTTTTGTTCAATCAGGACCGGTTTTTAAAAGTTTTTCGTTCTTGAAATGCTATTCGCATACACTCCAATGAATTCCAGTGAAAATTATGTAATTTAATTTAATTTGCAACTTAACATTACAACAACGTTGTCGTTATAGTCATTGATTGTTGTTCACGTTCAGAACGATGTCCGACTTCTTTATTTTAAACCGAGCTGAAGGGCCATTAACCTTAATTGTTTTTGTGTTATTTTGCGAGATTTGCATCACAAAATCTCAATACACAAACATTCTCAATTATTGTAGTATAAAAATTGATTAAAATAATAGCATAGCATTAAACATCAATACAAATCGTTATATGTGTTACAAAAACATTCTTCTCATCCTATCGAGTGTTTGTAATACTAGGCAGTTCCCAGTTTTCACGTCAGGAAAGTAGGTTTCTATCACAATCGTGATGTCGTACGACACTTTTAACAGTTTTTTATTCTTATAATTTGACTAAATTCAGCATAAGATACACCTATCAACAAAAAATAAATTACTTTGCCAGTGGCGTACGGTATGGGCAAGTAACACCTTCATCCTTTCTAAATTTCACGCCACTGTCTAAAAATTTATTTTATTTTATTTTATAAATCAATAAAAAAAATTAAATTTAAAAATAAATTAAAACTAGAATGAAAATATGCACAGTTTAACAGAGACCTCCCTTAACTCCCATTTTAATTACATTTTTTCCAGAATCAATAGGCTTCATCCTCTTATTATAAAACTTGTTTTTTTTTCCTGAATATTTCAATTTAATATCGTTTTTTTGTTGGGATTTTTTCAAAATCTCAACCCCCCCTTACCTCCCCATTTTTATTTATCTATTAATTCCCTTATAGAGTTTGTAGTGTACAGTTGTGGTTTTTAAAAGGTTGGTATTGTATTTTAGTACTCACAATATCTTAGGGAATCAAACTGTATTTTTTTGTAATATATATGAATGTCAGCAAAATTACAATGTTTACGTCTTAAATTATTTTTGAATAATATGAGAATTCACACGTTTTACTTCACCCTGTATCTTAAAAACTAGTCCTATGAAAACTTTGTGTCCATAAACAGTGAACACTTTTAATTGAGAGGTCAAAACACACAATATTGTTATACCAGATTACGTGGGATACACAGTAATTGTTGAAAACCCCTTACTAACGATAAATCATAGAAATTTTGAATCACCACGTATAATAAATTAGCAAATTAAAGAAAAATAATTTCCCGGTACCCAATTTTAATTACAAAATATACCAACAATAAGTCACTTCAATGTTTTGTAGGACATCCCGTATACAGTTTGTCCTTTATTTGACTTACCTAACATAACCTGACTTCATAACATTCTGTTTTTATTTAGGAATTTTTTTGCAAGAAGCAAAAAGTAATCCATAATAATATTTATCAAGTAGTTTTTTATTTTGGAGTATTCAATACGAGACCAACAAATGACAAATTAGAATTAAAAGATAGATACCGGTCACTTGTGAGTGTTGCAGTGAAAACTATTTTAGATATATTTTCAAGAAATAATATAGTGATTCATCTTCATGTGTTAGGAATATAAAAGATTAGTAAAGGTAAGTTTTTTTTATTTGAGAAATAAATGTAGGTGGTTTATTAGAATAAAGATTGTATACCCACCTAATGCTTGGCATTCTATATTATACTTCACAGATTTTTTTTAGAATCAATATGCTTCATCCCCTTATAAAGCTTTAAGATTTCAATTTGATACCGTTTCTTGTTTCTGAGTCAATAGGCTTTGTTTCCTTATAGAGCTTGATTTTTCATATTTTCTTATTTTTGTTTGGTTCAAAAACGTTTTAAAAAGTTTTAGATAACACAAAGTAATTATTTTTCAAAGTTTTCGAAAAGTACATTGTTTATTGCTTTATAGATGACGTAATATTAATTTTTTAAAATTATGTTCTACAAAAATTTAATCAAAATGGATAAATAAATCATCAGGTGTGACCGAAAATAAATTAATAGAACTGTTTTTTAAAGAGTATGGACATGTTATGTCAAAATTAAGTTTTTTTATTTCTTTTTCGTTGATTTTAATTGGACACTTGGCAACACCACACTTATTTGTATTAGGCAATCCAATGTCCTATCAGAATGGACAAAAATGATCTTAGAATATATTTAGTCAGGAAGGAGGAATCCTAAACGACCTTGGAATCGCGTTGGTATCTAATTTTGACAGTGAACTAGACGAATATGGCGACAAGTGTTTCCGGTCTACCAGTGACGTACTATCATAAAGGGGCGAAGAAAAGAAAATAATAAATTCTCATTTGCATATTTTCTAAATTTACCGATTTCTCTCATTTTAACGAATTGCTATTCTCCTGCGAGAAGTTTGCATTTTTTTTATTAACCTGCATTATGTGAATAAATTTTACTTTAAAATTGCATGTTGGGTGGGATAAATATAGGAAAATATTTTTGGGATAATTTATAGAGGGATTTCATTTGAAAAATCAAAGCAGTAATGTATTTAAAAAAGTATTGACTTTTTTACGTCTTTATTATGACAATGTCTTTATTAATCTACATTTTACAAATTATTAAGGTTTGAAAAATAAATATGTTTTGTAGATATGCGTTAAAAAAATTAAATATCCTATACTTATATTTAGGTCAAACACCGCTCTGATATTTCTTTCATAGATGGTTTTTGTATAAAACTTCCTAATATCGAAGATAATTTCTGATCATTTTATTACATAATATTATTAGTAATATTTTTTGCAGGACAATTTTGCATAAGCAGGTATAAATAGATTATTTTTAAATGTACATTCAACGCATTATTTGTATGCTTAGTCCAGTTATGATGAGAGTCAATTTATAATCTAAGGTATTTGATTTTTTTTTCCCTGGGCTCGTCTGATTATGTGTCTCCGAATAACACTGAAGCCTATTGGCTTATTGTGTTTTACCCCATGTTAGTTTATAGCACCCACTCTATCACCTTTGTACCTTGTACAAGTTTGTACAGATCCTTGGGTGAGTGGGTTCTATACGTTGTTGGATCAACCTGGGGTTGTCCAAAAAGAGCCTGTCTTTTGCGATCTAGAGCTTCGCATTCGCTCAGTATGTGTTTGGCCGTTTCTGGTTTCTTGTGACATAGTCGGCACATGAGTTCCCCATTGTACATTCCAATTTTGTCCAAGTGTCCCTTTACTGGGGCGTGCCCAGTCATGAACCCTGTTATCACTTTCAACTGGTTCCTATTCATTAAGAGTAGTTCTTCAGTTCTTTTGGGACATGGTCTGCCTATGAAGGCTTTTCCATGTGCCTGTTTTGGGGTGCTTCCCCAATAGTTGATATGTTGTTCCCGAATCCAGTCATTTATAAAACCCCGGACTGTACTTTTTGGTACTCCTGGGTTTGTGTCTGGTTCCGGTGTTTCTTCTGACCCTCTTTTTGCAAGTTCGTCAGCCTTTTCGTTGCCTTCGATATTATTCCTTTTATTGTTTCTATAGGAAAAGGCCATATTTTTGTAACTGTATAATGGAACAACATAAGTTTTATCAAAGGTTTGTAAGTTTTTATAATTAAACCATTCGAAAATTGTTATAGATCTGTTTCTATTAATAATTTTAATCAATTCCAGTTCTGTGCAATTTACAGAATAACTGTGTCGTCTGAAAAACTTACAATATTTCCATCTGTATTTAAATGACAAATTATTTAAAATAAAATTAAACAAGATAGGACTTAAGACAGTATCTTGAAGCATGCGATATGCTACTTATTTCCTTACTATTTGTGTTCGTTTTTGTAAATAATCTTATTGTAACAAATTATATAGAGTACATCGCATTCATTTCTGTTATACGAAAAAACGACAAATTATATAGTTAGTAAAGAATTTATTTACTTATATCTTATATACTTCAACCGGACCACTTTTATTGTTGGAACAGCTGTTGGTAGAAGTCTTATTCTTGGTTTAGAGGTTCGATCAAAACAAACTGCTTAAAAATGGCGTAAACACAAAAAATTAAGATATTTTGGCTCACAATTTGTTTGTTGCATAACTTTGTTTTTTGAGAATCTTTAGGAAATCTGAAAATTGTCTACCTGGGATTAATTTGTAAATCTAGAATCTTTAAGAAATCTGAAAATTGTTTACTTGCAATCAATTTATAAATCTAAATTGAACAATAATTTATTCATTTTAACAACCACATAAATATTTTAAAATTGCATAAAAGAATTGTTTAAATAAAAGTATGTATACCCTATGAACCATGAGACTACGCCT